GGGGGTGCTGAGTTTCTGTGTGGGGTGGGCAGTGGGGAGTATGATACAGAGCAAGGTAGGGAGGTTGCCTCCTGCTCCAGAATATGTCACAATTCCAATAGCAACATTTAAAAGTTCTAGTAAAACAAAACCACATAACAAGGAATATAAGTGCGAGAACTAATAAGTCTCAAAACTTTAAACTTACAAGCTGTCAGGTAGCTGTTTCCAAGCTCCTGTGTTCTTGGCTTGCTGAATTTCTGTCTATACAAAAGCTTATCACAGTCAGATCATGCATATTGCAACTGCTATTACTTGGAGTCTAAGAATAAAGTCAGCAGGAGCATACAAACTCACCTACAGTAATGATTTACTTCTTAACAGACCTCCATCTCTTTGGGCAGATTTTGGGGTTGTTTTCATGACCCTGTCATTTCTATATGAGGACAGAGCCAGCTGTGACAGATACATTTCTATGACACAGCATATCTGCCAGAGGCCAGGGGCTGGACGAACTTTTCCTTGATCAGCCACATCCTTCCAATGACAGGTCTCTTACTATCAAATACATTGGGAGCTAAAGGGAAAACCACTGGGGTCTAGTGTGGGCACACAGAGGATGAAAGTAGCTCGGCTGACCCTCTGGCACCCTCCCAGTCCCACACTGTGCTTGTAGGGACTAAGGACATAGATTAGCTGAGTAATTATGGGGCAGAAGGTAATACTAGATCCAGGATTCCCCTATTTCTTAGGCTTCTACCTATTCATCACAAAAATGTGAGGTTGTACCATGGTTTGGAGTGTGGGGTTCTATGCAGACCAATGATGTCCAAATATTTACTGATCTTTTCCAATGTGCCCAACACTATTCCTAGAACTTCAACCATACTAAAATCACACAGTCCCTTCTGAGGTAGGTATGATGATCATTGCCATGGATAGACAAGGAAACCAAGTTAAATAGCTTGTTTATGGCTCCTTAGAGAAGAACCTGCCTGCATGCAAGTCTGGCTTCACAACCAGGTTGGCTCTCAGCTTCACTGTTAGGAGACTTCTTCACTGCACTAAGTTCCTGCACAGAGTGGCCAAGGCCTGGAGGAATCTTTTTTTTTTAGTACCAGGGATCGAACTCGGGTCCTTGCACTTGCACAGCAGGCAGCGAAACCCCTGAGCTAAATCTCTGGCCCTGGAGCAATGTCTTTTAAAAATAAATTTCTGGTCTTTGACTAGAGAAAAGATCTGGATCATTATACCCATATTCTGAAAGAGAATTTGGCCAATCTGGCTTGCTTAGAAGTACATAGTCAAGATGATAAAAGACCACATAATATAAGCAATATTTGGCACAAGTAAGAATGAATTAAATGACTAACGGGCAGATGACACAGGAGGTGACTATGAAGACTCTGCTTTGAAACACCCAAGGGGCTCTGGCCATATGGCCAGGATCATTTCAGTTCCCACAGCAGGGCAGGTCTGGGATGAATTTGCAGAAGCTTCAGGAAAATCAAGTTTATTTATGAACATGTAGGGCCAGGGATTTAGCTCAGTGGTTTCACTGCCTGTTGTGCAAGCTCAAGGACCTGAGTTTGATCCCCGGTACCAAAAAAAAAAAAAAATCATTTACGAACATGCAGAATTCCGGGAGGATGAAAGGTGAGCTCCCCATGACCTGCACTCCTGCAGAGGCTACAGCATCATCTGGGAAGGAAATCACAGGACTTTGTGCACCAGAGGAGGAGCCTGAATAGGGTCAATTCCAACTCCAAGACTGCAGTTGGGGCATTTTACCATTTCAGAAAAGAGGCGAGTGAAAATACAGCACATCCCCCTGTAGTAGCACACTCCCTTAGGCACAGCACCTTAGAGCAGATTATGGGGAAAGGGTGAGAAAGGGCTGAGTTAGGGTAGACAGGTGTGTACAGCTATAGAGCACGTGTCAGGTCCTAGCTACGCCAACCAAATGTACACTTTACTCATTATGACCTTAATTTCAGGAACTTTCAATCGGAGGAAAGTCAATATCATTATTTTAGAAAATTCTGAAAATAATAACTGACCTCCAAATTTTCCTGATTAAGCACGCATTATTTGGAAAATGAAGTGAGCCAGTTATCCTGCCCCAAGCACTATAGCAATAATTAAACTATTCTGGAAGCTCCATAAGAGATAATTTCTGCACACTCTTTGGACACTGTTGTGCACCGATAGCCCTTATGCCTCTCTTTTACTATAAAGTGAAAGTTGTGTCAGCAATTTCTTTTTCTTCTCTCCCTACACCAATACAACCAATTTCTATGATTCAGAACCATCTCCCTGGTTGGGATAGTCTAATTTCTTCGGGCCTCCTGTAATCAGTAACAATAGTGCAGCTTTGTTATTTTCTTTATGTTATCATCTTCTATGTAACACAAACATTTATGAGGAGCCACTATAAAAGATGAAGTCCTTGTCATAACTACAGAAAACATCCACCCTGCTTCCATCTTTTTGTTAGCCAATTTGTGCTCTAAACATGTCATATTTTGTAGATAATAAACTAATTCATGTGTTTGGCGTCTGCCTAGCAAGCCAACTCTACATCACACCACTGCTCGAAACATACTTTATATACTTAAAAGAAATTGTCCTCCATGTTGTGATTGTCCTCTAATTTGATTATACACATTTAAATAATTTTTTCAATATAGGCACAGCTCTATATCTATGCATCGCTGTTCAAAGAGAAACTGATTAGTGCGCTTGCGACACAAAAAGTCATTCTAATCAAAGGTTAGCGTTCATTCCTTTTATCTAAAAAGATAGAGATTCACAAAGAATAATTCCCCCCTTACCTATGTCTTGGTAATGAGAAATTAGACATGAGAACACAGTCATCCCACTGCCCAGCACCTGAGCCTCTGATCTCCACCCCCTGGAACGCATGGGGAAAATGCACATCAAGCCATTACAGGGTGTGACCATGCCTTTCCAACAATCTGTGCTTCACATACTTAAGCAATCCACCACTCCATTTCAATAAAGAGTTTAATTTTGTCACAAAAACTTGCTTTCTCCCAGGCATGGGGAAAAGGGCTTGGGCCATGGAAACAAATACTGCAGTGCATGTGGGTTTCATAAACAGAGGCAGTTTACCATCACTCCAGGGTTGGGGGAAATCTGTGTCGCAGCTAATTAATTTAGCCTTCATATCAACTGTTCTGAACTACAAAGAAAGCTTACCAGTTAGTCTCCAGCAACCAAAGGCAAAAAAAAAAAAAAAAAAAAAAAAAAGCTGATTGAAAAGACTAAGAGATTTAGCAAACAAACTGCTGGCCATTTGGGAGTAACTTAAGGCTACCTGAAAAGCAACCCTTGATTGAAATCAATTAAAAGGAACCACCTACCGACCTGCTGAAGGGCCAGAGCTTAAATATCCCTCCTACCCAATAAAGGTCCAAAGAAAGTCCCAAAGCTCCTGAGGCCACATGAATATCCTGAGAATTTAAAATGTCAAAAGAAGGTCTTTGCTTCTAAATAATAGTGGCTCTCCTGTGGTTATCTGAAGCCTTCCAGGATTTGCTTTTCAAGCTCTTTATTGAAATTTCTCAGGTCTTTAACTGATCTCCGGTGAGGACAAAAAAGCCTTAAGCTAATTACACTTGGCTGAGATATGCTTGATGAGATGGGAAAAGCATAAAGCTTTTGAAAAGGTGAAAAATCTCTAACCATCTGCTGGTGGTGTTCCTAAAAGAACAATAGGGGAGAAGAGAGAGGGCAGCTAGCCAGAGTAGAAAGATAGAGGATTTCTTTAATTACTGGGTCAATGAGACCATTACAGCTTGGAATGTTGGGAAAGGCCAACCAAACAAGCTTAGAGAGTGGAGCCACAACAGTGCGCAGTGAATAAGTTAAGGCCAAAGATCCACAACAAAAGGAGGACGGATTTGGAGGGAGAAAAACAAACAGGTCAGCTTTGTTTAAGAAAGTATTTCTAATTAGAAATCACAGGTAGTTTATGGAAAGGAGAGAAAGGAATGCCCCTTAAGTTGCAATTACATTTCAGACCAACCTCTGTGCCTTTTTTTTTTTTTTTTTTAAAGTCTTCCTGGTTATCTTCGGTCCTCAAAGGCAGTGGCAGATGGAGCCCTGGTAAAGTGCATTGCCTCTGATGCCAGTGAGACAGTTGCTTACATTATACTTGGCAATCCAGGTGAACAGCCTGTGTTTAGCTTTCAAATTAATGCCCCAGGTGTTGGTTCAGTATGGCAAATAGCTTATGCGTGTTGCTCTAAAAGCCTACTTCAGTTCGTTTTCTTTTCTTTTTAAAAATATCTAGTCCCCTCAAATTCAGCTGAGAAAATGTTAGACTTTGGGAGCCAAATGGATTTAAATCCAAAAGAGGACTGCTTAAATCCAAGTTTATTTTTCCTTTGTATAGGGTAACTCCTGCAAGTTGAGCAAGAGTTATGTCCCAAGTCATAGTTTTGTTCTTTTTAACAACCTTTGCAGAGGGAATGCTATTTTCTTTCTCAATATTCCTCTTTCCTTCTGTGTCTGAAGAGGAATGAAACTCTGAAATGATAAGTTTTTTAAAATCTCTTCTTGCCTCTTATGTCCTGTTAACTGAAACCAGGAAAGAATGACACCTTGGTAGTAAACATTTTTTTTTAAAATTTTCGACACACATGTCTACTCAGGATGTTCTTGGAATAACTGGCTGTGGATACACACAGTACTTAGTTCCACCCACTTCCCCACCTAGGCACTGCAGTCTGTTTCCTCTTCCATACCACATGCCACTATAGAAGGCTTGTGCCATGATCCTGACCACAGAATAGGCACTTGTTGTAAGCCCACTGATCTCAGGTATACTGTGAGCTCAAGTTGGTAATAGGTTCCCATCCTTACCATAGGTACCCTAATGCCCAGAATGAAGCCTGTAGGTCTTGGGAGTCCACAATGATGCTAAAGAGCCATCTCCCCCCATGGTGCCTCATGTGAACAGCTGGTTTGAATAATGCACAAGGGCTTACCTGTTCTCCAGGTGTGCATCCTGCACCTACAGCATCAGCATCACCTGATTGCCCACTGCCTCGAGACCTAATCAACAGACTTGAGGGATGGGGGTAGCACTCTAACTTCAACAAGGCTTCAGGTGTTGTGGATCCACACTCAAGTTGGAAAAACCTCTGCTCCCTGCTGTGGACACATCTTGTCGAGTTGATACTACCACAGACCAGTCGTACCAGGAAGTACCATGCCAGGAAGTCTAGGCCATGAGCCTCCAGTTTTCATGTTTTACTGTTTTGTCTCCAGGATATCTTTATGTAAATTCCTGAGTATAACAAGAGATGCATGCACACATATACACAGTCCAAGATTTAATAAAGTCTTAATAGTCGAATTGAGAAACCAAAACCTAGCACTTTTTGTATAAGAATCTACTTGGGGCAGAGCTCAGGAAACTGCACTTCCAGCAAGTTCTCATGCTGCTGCAAAAAACACATTTTGAGAATTACCATTTAAATAAGTTTGTCTCTACCCCTAGATAATTAGTCCAGAGAAAGAATGCTCTGAATTTGGATGTAAAATACTAGAGCAGTGCTATTCAAAATATGAACAAGACTGGCAGCCTCACCATTAGTTGGGAGGTTTTTAGGACATGAGATGATTAAGCCTACCAAGACTTCTTGGGATCTCTGGGTCAGAATCTCAGGGGATGGTGTCCAGGAACCTGTGTCCTAAACACTAACTCCTATGCACACCTACCTTTGAGAGCCACTGTGCTAGAATAATATACCAACTATGCTGCGGGTAGTTTAGGTTTAAACTATTAGAAAGCTATTAAGGTCAACTTCCCTACTTCCATTTTGTATTATTACAAGTCAGGGAGAGCCAAATTGGAAAGCCTAAATTTATATCTTCTTTATTTCCAAAAATATTGGTTTGATAATTATTATTTGTTCCAGACCAGAAAATAAAAATAAGCTTTCTTTTCCTTCTTTCTCTTACTCTCTTTCCTTTCTTCCTAGAATTTATTTCTCCTTTATTCCTTCATTTCCCCAATGCCTTTATGTTTTCATTTTCATCTCCTAGACTATGCATAAATATTCACTGGTACTTACCCTTGAAGGAATCCGACCACTGCCTTCCTGGTCTGAGCAGAGACCACTTTAAATCCCCCTCATGATTTTATACCTGTTGTAGATATATGGCCATGGGTCAATAAGGCCCAATAAGCACAGTGTAAGCACAGCTTTATCCTATAATTTCAAATCATTGTTCAGCCTGCTCCTGACAAACAACATGCAACACCTTGTACATCCTCAAGCCCGTGGACCTGGGCAGATAGCCCCAACTCTTTTGTACCGAACTCTCCCCGCCAAAGTCCCATTGTGACTTTTTCCTTCCAGTCTCTTTTATGTTCATGACCCTATAAAGACCTCATAACCTGTACAAGAGAGCTACTGGTCTGGTCTCCAGTGCCAGAGCAGTCCCTCAGGTTTGTTCTGCAATAAACCTGTCCTGTTGAGCTCGTACCCTTGCTTCTTTTAGTTTTTGTCCTAACAATTGTGGCCATAGTAAATATATTTGCTTGAGCTATGTGCAACCAGTAGAAACTGACCTTAAAAGGCACAGGTCATAATAATAAAAGCACTGTCTAGTTTAGCATATGTTATAGGAGGGATAACTTCGTGGTACTTCCCAAGTAAGACATGGAAAGATCTTGAGGCCTTTTTTGGGGGGGAACCAAGACAAGCCTGGAGCTTCCATTTAGGAGAAACCATGCTGACCTGTAACGTATTAGGTACTTTTTGCTGCTATAAACTATCATAGATTTAAATGATCTCACACCACACACGCTCATCTTACAGTTTTGGATGTCAGAAGTTTAAAATGAGTCTTATGGAACTAAAATCAAGGTGGGAACTGAGCCATCTTTTATCTTGAGGCTCTAGGGATGTGTCTGTTTACTTACCTGTTTCCAGTTTCCAGAAGCTGCCTATATTCCTTGTCCTGTGGCCCCCTTCTTCACTCTCTCCCCTCTCTTCTCTCCTTCCATCAGACAACATAACTCCTTCCCTGTTCCTGACCCTCCTCCTTCTCCTCTCTTTCTCTTATAGATAATGCTTGTAATTACATTGGGACCATCTGGAAACCTCTCTCCTAAAGAGCCCTAGCTTAACCACAGCTGCAAATATGTAAAATAATCACCGTTCCAGGATTAGGACGGGAATGCCTTTGGCGGGTCAGTGTTCTGCCTACTTCAGGTAATTAGAAGACAATCGTGGCCCTCCATGTTTCCTTCAACTCCACATTGTATATATTTTCATGCAAGCTTTATTTTCTAAATGTGTAAGGGTTTTCATAATATTTTTTAAATGGAGAGAAACAAGAATAATGTAACATAAAATGTGAAATACTCTTAATTTTAGAATACTCTTAATTTTAGAATTTTTATCTTGAAATTAAAGATCGATATCTAATACATTATGATCCATGTTCTGCTTAATTTTGAATATTATTATTGTATGAACTATTCAGAAGGGTATAAAGCATGAAGTACAGGTGAAGCAAATTATGATTAATATTTAAGGTGAAAATTATGATAAATTGAGATGAATATTTTCCTTTGAAATATGCCTTTAAGAAATATCCATGAGGCCTGAGGTTTGATCCTCAGCTCTGCAAAACAAATGAATAAAGTACCTATTTTCTTTTTCTTCTTTCTCTGCAGTTTTTAAAAATTAGTTTCAATTAAACCAAAGCAAATAAACTATGACATCTCTGAAAATTGAACCAAAGTGCTTCTAATATTTAAAATGTAAGTTCTGACAATGGGATATTTATTGATTAGGATCTTGACTGGCTCATCTTGACATTTCCCTTGAAGATTCACAATGAAATGAAGCAACTGCATACAACCAACCCAAAGCTCTTGCTATTGTTCTAGTGCTTCTTTTTCTTTTTTAAAATCATTGCAGCAGATATCATAAAACATATGCAGTGAAACATTCAAGCAGCAAGTGCCCTAATTGTTTCCATGTTGATTATAAAAATAAATTGAAAGGTAAGTCTTCACAGGGAAATAAATGAAAAAAATAATTAACATTCAAACTACTTCCTATACCACCTGCTCTTTACATACTGTGCTGAAATGAAGGCACCTGTATAAAGAATAATGAAAAGAAATTGAGTTTCCTTCTGAAGCAGAGAGAAGAGTAGCATTTATATTTGAAATCCAAATCAGAATGCATATACCTTTTGTATAGTAGTAGTGTTTGGAAATTTCTGCATCTGACAAGTCAAGAATGCTTAAATCTAAACCCACATGCAATAAATATTTCACTCGGAATATATGACAAAATAGTTTTGTGGCTTTAACTTAAATAAATTAATGTTGAACTTATATGTCAACCAGTATGTGAATTTAGGCTTAACTTTTCCAAACTGTATACATATACAAGTTAAATTGGAGTGAACATTTTGGTTTTTATGAAGAGATGTTTACACATCCACATTATTTCAACCTCTAATTGCCTTACCCACTTACACTGTAAATTTGTTAGTTCTGCTACTTTAAGTGGTCTTTATGCACAAGTGGTTATGATGAGGATCTTTAGCTAACAGCCACAATGGAAGTTTCAATTGTCTGTCGTATGCTATTAGAAAGCAAAGATCAGTTCACTGAGAAGTAGGAGGAAACCCTTTTTTATGTACAATGGCAAAAAATAAAAGTATTCAGAGGAAACTTAAAACGTTATTCTAAGAAAGAGCCAAGCTAAAACAAGACTGATCAGATAACAATGTGAAGTCAAAGTAAAAGAGTAAGTATGTTACTTTTCTCTCTTGCTAAGACAACATACCTGACCCATACCCAAAGTTGGAGGGGAAGGGGTTTATTTAGCTTACAGTTTGTAGAGATTTCAATCATAATTGGCTGGCTCTAAGTCAGGGATGACAAACAGGCATGGTAAAGGAGAAATAACATGGCACACACACAGTAGCAAAGGCAACAAGGGACCTGCACCATGTCTTTCTGCCCTTTTTATCCCATCAAGACTGCCGGGATTAGGGTGGTGCTGAACCACTCACTCACATGTAGTGGTTCAGTAATCACACACTCTTAATCCCAGCATCACACATTCCAGATTCAGCTACCTCTGACTCAGTGAGGCTTTGGGGGGACATCCAGACCCAAATGGTAACAGTAAGCTTCTGAGTAAAGTGTTGAGGGTTTCTTGAGTGCATTTAATGGCCTGAAATGGTTTGGAGCCCAAGACAAGTTGTTGTGGGAACACCTTCTTGGAGGCTGTCAGCAGACGGAGCCATTTTGTTCCAATCTTCTGGCTCAGGGGAGGATTCGGATAGAGCAAACCTGCCTACGAAAGGACGTGGCATGGCGGGAACAAACTCGAGTTTCCAGGAAGACATCTCAAGAGAATGCATCTGTGTCTGCGTGTTGATAAAGAATTCATAATTTCAGAGCTCTTGTATCAAAAGGAGGAAGTTCAGACTCAGGGTAATTTGGGCTATATTTGCGTGAATGTTAAAGGCAGGGCTCAGCTAAATTTTTCTGTAAAGTTCCAGGTAGTAAATGTTTTGGGATTTGTATGCTCTCATAAAACTTTATTTATGGACCCTGAAATTTGAATTTCATATAATTACATGAGTCCTATACCAAAAGCCAGCACAATGCAATAAATGTAATATTTTATGGTCCTTACTAACTAGAGTCTATAATTTAACATGAAAAACATGGAAATCAATGATGAATGAAACCATCTGGCTACATGTGAGCTGTCAGCAAGTCTCCTGGTCCCCCCTCCTTGGAGCAGCTAGGAAATCCTCGAATGCCCCACCCTGGCCTGGGGCTTCCACCCTATCACTTCTGCTGTGCTGACTTCTCTCCACCTCTCTGGCTTTCACTTACAGCTTGGCTTTCCAATAGAGAGAGTAAGGGTGGCTATACTTCGACAAAATGGACTCTGAGTCAGAAAGGGCTACAAGAGACTACATAATGATAAAGAAATCAATTCATCAAGAAGACATAACAATTGCAAATATTTATACCCTAAACATCAAAGGGTCTAAATATGCAAAGCTAATACTAATCAGATCTGAAAGGTGAAATAAACAGTAATACACAACAATGGGGACATTAATAGCCCACTCAGAAATGGCTGGGTCATTCAGAAAGAAAATCAATAAGGAAATATTGGTTTTGAACAACATTATGGACTGAAAAGACATAGAGTCTGTGCAGAACATTCATCTAAAAGCAGCAGAATACAAATCCTTCTCAAGTGCAATAGAATAGTCGCCAGAACAGATCATATATTATCACAAAACAATTTTAACAAATTCAAGAAGAAACTGTATCAAGTATCTTTTCAGATCATAATGGTATAAAACTAGAAATCAATAACTAGAAGTTTTAGAAAATTCATAAATAAATGGAAATTAAACATGTGCCCAAGCAACCTAGTAAGTCCAAGAAGTAAAAAAAAAGAAAAAAATGTCTTGAAATGCACAAAAAAGGAAACAGTATACTAAAACTTATAGGATGCAACCCAAGAAATAGTAAGAGAGAAATTTATGGTTATAAAAAAGTACATTAAGCCAAAAAGAAAATATTAACTTAACTTTACAGCTCAAAGAACTATAACAAAAAAGATCAAAGTAAGTTCAAAATTAACCAAAGAAAGGAAATAAAGTTTAGAGACATAATTTCTAACATCTAACAGAAATTAGAAAAAAAAGGAAGGAATAAAACAGGAATTCATACAACTTATAGCAATAAAATAAGTAATCTGATTTAAAAAGTGGGCAAGGTACGTGAATAGCATTTTTCCAAAGAAGATATATAAATGGCTAGGAGGTACATGACAAGGTATTCAACATCATGAACCATCAGAGAAGTGCAAGTTGAAACTACACTGAGATAGGACATTACACTTGTTAGGAACTGCTCTTATCAAAAACACAAGAGTTCACAGGTGTTGGTGAGTGTCAAGTAAAAGGAACTCTTATAGATGGTTCAGGGGAACATAAATTAGTATGATCAGGATATAAAATAGTGTGGATGTTTCTCAAATAATGTAAGACAGAACTACCATATGAGCCAGCTATACCACTTCTGAGTGTATTTCAAAGGAAAGTAAATCAGCAGCTTGATATCTGCACTGCCACATTCATTGAAGTATTCATACTACCCAAGATATGGACATAGACTACGTGTCCATCAGTGAATGGAGGAATGGATAAATCTATATCTATATCTATATCTATCTATATATATATAAAGTAAATTAGTGTACTGTATGACCTCATTTATATTTGAAATCTAAAAAAGTAAAACTTACAGAAACAGAATAGTGGTTGCTAAGGATTGCGGGTAGGGAAAATGGGGGAGGTTGATCACAGGGTATCAACTTTAAATTGTAAGATAACTAAGTTCTGAGCCTGGTAACTATAGCTAACAATGTCAATTTTAAATAGTTTCACTATAGTAAATAAATAAATAAATAAGTAAATGTATGTATGTAACTTGTGAGGTGATAGATGTGTTAACTAACTTACACATGGCAATCATTTCACAACATATTCATATATCAAGTCATCATATTGTTTATTTTAAACTTATACAATTTATCTATACTTTACCTCAATAAAGTTAGTAGGAAAACATAGCTACCATCTGTCACTTTGTTTCTTTACTCCACTTTAGTGTTCATTATATGAATTATCAGTACCTGATGATACATCACTTATCTATTTATTTATGGGTTACCCCGCACATTCCAATGTCGACAGTAGCTATTACCACCCTTAGCCAACCAGGGCTCTCAGGCCTTGTATTCTGAAGGTCATTCTCTGGTTCTCGTCTAGCTATGTCTATGCCCATGGGATTAGGGGTGGGTGGGGTCAAGAAGGCAAGTCCACCATCCTTTGTTTGGTTTTTTTTTTTGGTACTGAGGATCAAACTTGGGACCTTGCACTTGCAAGGCAGGCGCTGGAACCACTGAGCTAAATCCCCAGCCCCTCCACCATCCTTTGAATACCTAGAGTCTCAGAATTTCTAATCGCAATGACCCTGAGCACTTTCAAAGGGAGTTGGGCAAACTTCCGTGAAGATAT